GGGGGTGGTCCCACATAGCCAAGAGCTGCCAGCACTGCCCTGAGCTGGTAGAACTGCGTGGCTTTGCCCCAGAATGGAGATGGAGGTGGAGGAGCTCTCCTCCGCTGCCCCCGAGCTGGTAGAACTGCCCCTGCAGTGCCCTCCCTGACTGGGGGACAGGAACTGACCCAGCCCAGGGCCTGGCAGCCCTGCACAGGCTGTGGCAGACGTAGCACAACTACAGTTTAGTATTCCCAGTATGCCCAGCACAGGCTTGGCTCTCCCTCTGCCCATACCATTCCCACGTGAGACCCCACAGCTCTCCCTCCCTGCACTCACATTGTCAGGGTTGAATGTCAGTGGATGGGGACAGCTCCTGTCCCCTGCCCAGAAGGGGACACCCGGGCTGGTTTCCTGGCACAGGGAGAGAAGAGTCAGGCCCAGGAGCGTGTGCCCTGGCTGCAGTGAGGTGGCAGTGGGGGGACGGGCGTGCAGGGGGTGCCAGCCCCGTGGTGCTGGGCTCACATGCTCCGGGGGGTAGATGTGCAGCAGCTGGGCGATGGCATCGTGGTAGCAGCTCTGCCAGCGCCGGCGTGCCCAGCGCACACAGTCCTGCCAGTCCCGCGGCCGCTCCCGCAGCCTCTCCCACACCTGCTCCACGACCTGCCCTGGCGGCTGCTGCTCCAGGAAAGCTGGGTCCCTGCAAAAGCAGGCAACTGCTGATGCTGGCCCAAGAGCAATCCTGTGAGACACCTGAGTCTGGCACCCTCTCCCCATTCCCAGCATGCCCTGGCAGAGCTGGAAGCTCCTCTCCCAGTGTCACTACCCCCAAAGCCCACTCACTCCATGAACTGGTTGACTTGTTCTGCAGGTAGCTGGAAAAGCCCCTCAAACTCATCACGGGCCCACTGTGGAAGAGAAACGAGTGTTGAGCACTGGAACCTCCCCCTTGTGCCCCCAAGCCCAGGGGGAGGGGGAGGCTCTGGCAGGGCCAGCAGCAGCACTCAGGCTGCCAGCAGGAAGCAGCTGGGGCCATATCCTGCTCATGGCTCACCACTGGAGGGGACAAGGGGAAGGAAGACAAAGGTCCCGGTGCCTCCTCGCTGGGCGCTGTGGCAGCTCAGCCTACCTGCAGCGTGTGCTGGATGGTGCGGGGGAAGTGCCGCAGGGTACACGTGGGGAAGGTGCCATCCCTGGGGGCGCTGGCTGGCCGCAGAGGCTCGGTCAGGGACGGTACCATGGCCAGCACATTCCCCCGTGTCCCCTCTGTGCCCGAGTCCAGCAGTGGTGTGCGACAGCGCAGACAGCGTCTCTCCAAATAGGTGCCTGCAGGGAGCCAGGAGTGCTGGGGAGCCAGGGAGCAGGCCCAGGGGCTTGGGCCCCATGCCCTTCCTGACACTCACGGGCCTCTATCGTATCCAGGGCGCTGGCAACGCCATCCAGGTGCCGGAAGAAGTTGTCGTTGTAGAGCATCTCGGTAGCAGGTCCCACCTGGTTCTGGTGAGCTGTCACTCTGACATCAGGGTTCATGCGCTGCACGGCCGCTGCAGCCACCACTGACTTTGGCTCCTGCCAGGGCAGAGAAGGGGTGGGCAGCCTTAGAGAGCCCCTGGGCCAGCCAGGATGCCCTTTGGGGGGAGCTCAGCCCCTGCCTCGTGCTGCCTCACTGATATATCTGCTGAGCGATAGAGAAGCTGCCGATGGAGGTTGGAGAGGGCAACAGTGTCCATGTCAGTGACGATGAGCTCCCCATCCGGCCCCGCTGCCAGCCCCATCATGGCAAAGTTCTTCAGCAGCTCGCAGCCGATGGCACCAGCTCCTACCTGTTAGGACAGAGATGCTGCAGCTCCCCACGTGCCAGCTGGATGCTCCACAGCCTCCCAGTGCCATGGCCCTCCCCACTCACCACCAGGTACTTCTGGTGGCCCAGCCTCTCCTGGAAATTGGCCCCGAAGACGGCAATCTGGCCATCGTAGCGAGAGCCTCTCTGCCGGGACAAGGAGCTGTGTGAGCACAGCAGCCACGGCACCGCGGGCAGCCGGGACACGGGGTCTCACCGGGGCACAGTCCGTCTCTGTCAGCTGCGCAGCCCCCGCCAGCGCCAGGCACTCCAGGGCGTCGAAGTACAGCCACTGCTCCAGGGGCAGGAACTTCCCGGTGACGGCCTGGGGCGAGCAGCCCGTGGGCAGGCGGCCAGCGGGGCGCTCCCCCCAGCCCGCCCCAGCCCTGCTGCCGGACCCGGCGTCCCCAGGCGGGCAGCAAGTGCCCTCTCGTGGCCACCAAACGCCACCGGACGGCCACGGCCGGCGGGACCCGGCCCCGCTCACCTTCAGCACCTCCTGGGCCGCCAGCGCCCCGAGCACGGCGGCCACGGGGCACAGGTCCCCGGCGCTGGCGCTGGCGAAGGCGCGCACCGTGTCCTCGTCCAGGGGACCCTGCCGTGCTGCCAGGCCCCGCGCCAGCTCCAGCACCCGCTCGGCATCCGCCTGCGGGCAGAGGGGAGAGGGCAGCGCCCGGCAGCGGGGTGCGGGTGGGCAGGAGCAGGACACACGGACTTACGGGCGCCCTGGGCCGCGGCAGGCGGCCCTGCTCCCTGCGGAAAGCGTGGAGGGCCTGGAAGGCGGCGTGCAGGCTGCGGCTGCGTGGCAGATCCTCGGGACTTGCCACCTGGATTTGGGGCTCCTCCAGCGCCTGGCGCAGGGGCTTCTGCCAGCACAGCACCAGGGATTGGTGAGCGCTTTCGTGGGGCCCGGCATGGCACAGCAGCACCCCAGCCCGGTGGCAGCACCGTGGGGCCCAGAAGGACTTACGTGGGAACACTCCTGGGGCTGCTGCACCTGTGAAACCAGACCCCCGCAGCGGTACGGCGAGAAGGAGCTGGTGTCACTGATCTCCAGCCTGAAGGCATCTGGGGACAAGAGGAGCACACGTCACACCACGGTCACTGCCAAGGACCCGGTGAGTTCCTCAATCAGCCAGTATCCCCCTGGAGGTCTCACCGAGCACATGCACAGGGACAGGCTCCTGGCCGTTCAGCTCTGTCATCCCCTGCACGCCAGAAAATGTCACCAGGTCACCCTCGTAGAAGAGGTGGCCATGGCTGTTCTCCGTCCCCATGTATGTCACCACTCCTGGGTTGCCCTGAGGAGGGGAAGGCTACATGAGAGTGGGGCACTGGACTGGGGTGGCATACAGCCAGTGGAGGCGGCAGCAACATTTTGGGGGACCTGCAGGGGCTGCCCTCCCTCCTACCTGGGAGATGTGCTCCACAGGAGCAGACACTGGATCCCCTTCTGCTGGGTCATGAACGACAAAGCGCTCCCCGAAGTCACAGAACAGCTGCCTGGAGAGGACAGATGGGGTTTTGGCAGAGGAAGTGCCCCACCAAGCTGCCCCAGCACTGCCACGTCCTGCCCAGGCCGAGCAGCCCTGCCAGTGGGCTACTGGGGACATGGGATGCAGCGCAGGGCTGGGGGCTCTGGGGACAAGGTGACCCACAGCCAGTGCAGGGCCCCATGAGACCCCTTACCCTGCCAGCCCCTTGGCGTCAGCCACGATGAAGCAGATGCCCCGGGCATGGCAGAAGTCCCCGAGGCGGAGCTGCTCCTCCAGCGGGGACTCAGTCAGCACCACCACCTGTGCCAGGTCTGTCAGCGAGCGCTGCCACCCCGGGGGTCCCCCCGGTGCCGGGACGCAGGCTCACCTGGAAGGGGGCAAGGAAGGCCTCCGACAGCTCCCCGGTGTGAGCCTCGACCACCACATGGGGGTTCAGCTCAGCCAGGGCCCGCTGGGATGCCTTGGCACGGTTCTGGCCTAGATCGCTCTCTTCCAGGAGGAACTGCAGATTGGACACATGGCGGGGCACCCTATGGGCCTGGGGTGCAGCTCACCACTGTGGGGTGCTCCACAGGCCCTGTCTGCACTGGTGAGGGGGCTCTGTCACCTTACCTGTGACAATGAAGGGCACCCTGTGCCTCACCAGCCTCCCCAGCTTGTGCCGGTTATTGGAAGCCCCTCATCCCAAACCCATCCCTGCAAACAGGGATTCTCCCAGCTGCACCTGCACCTGTTACTGTGACCTCCAGCCACATCCGTGCCTGTTCCTGGGACTCCCACCTGAGTCTGCCCCTGTACCAAGACCCTTGTATGTACCTGTATATGTCATGGGGCCTTCCCATCCATACCTGTACCTGTTACATGGGCCTTCCCATCCATACCTGTACCTGTTACTGGGACTGCAGTCTGTACCCAATATGGGGATTCTCATCCATACTCGTACCTGGTACTGGGACCCCCACATGAGTCTGTACCTATTACCAGGACCTTTATCAATGCCTACACACATTATGGGGCCCCTCTTCCATACCTGTACTCTGGCACCTGTGCCCATACCCACACTCGTTACTGGGACACCCGCCTGTACCTTAGCTGTTACTGGGACCCCTGACCGTACCTATTGTCGGGATCCCCACCCTCACCTGCACCCACTACCGGCATTCTCACTAGCTCCTGTTATGAGATCCCCACCCGTACCTGTTACAGCGAACTTCACCCGTACCTTTCCCCGGAGCCCCGCCCGGCCCCGCCGGTACCTGGTGGGTGCGGTCGGCGGTGCAGGCGGCACCGCAGTCGTGCAGGACGACGCGCCCGGTCCCCGCCAGCACCAGCGCCGTCGCCACCTGCGCTCCGGTCCCGCGCAGCCCCGACACCAGCACCGCCGACCCGGGCAGCCGCCGCGCGCCGCCGCCCAGCACATACCTGCGGGTACCGGCGGCGGCCGTCAGCGGGGGCCGGCACCGCTGCACCGCGCCCTGCTCCGGCCCCCGGTGCCGCTCCCCGGTGCCGGCCCCGGTGCCGGTTTCCGCACTCACAGCTGCCGCGAGTACCGCGGCTCCTCCTCGCTTCCCGCCATGATGGCCCCGCCTCCGACCGGCCCCACCCCCGGGCCTGCCCCGGGGAGGAGCTAATCCGTAAGGCCCCGCCCCGACCGCGCAGGATGGCGGCGGGACCGGGCAGGCCCCGCCCCTCGGGACCTCCCGGCCCCGCGCGCACTCCCTGTCCCCCGCGGGCCCGGCGGGACGCAACGGCGCCGCCGAGCGGCACTGCCCGCCCCGGTGAGTCCCGACCGCTACCGGGCCCAAAAACGCTGATTCCCCCGCGGGCCTGCCCGGCTTCCCTCCCCCGCGCCCGGCCGGCGCTCCCGGAGCGCTGCCCGGTGAGCGACCCCCGCCCAGTGAGCGTCCCCCCGCCGCAGCCCTGCACCGCTACAGCCCGTGACTGCGCGCTGCCCGGCAGGGTCCGGACGGGCGCCTCTGGGACACCGGCCCCGTTAGCCCCCGAGCTGCGGGTTCTGACAAGTGCCGCCCAGGCTGTGCCCCCCGGGCTGTGCCCCGACCTCTGAGCCCCCCACCCCGCCCAACTGCACCCCAGCCCAGGGTGCCCCAGTGAGGGCCCCCAGCCGCACACGGACACGGTGCCTGCCCCAGCCGTGCTCACGGTGCCTGTCTCTTGCAGGGATGGCCCCACGGCAGAGCCCATGAAGACACACCGGGAGTGAGCAGCACCAGGACCGCCGGCTGGGTACTGCCAACACCATTAAAGTGCTGTGCCCACCTGCTGCTCCTTGTTTTGGCATTGCCACCATAACCAGAGAGGAGGCCAGGGAAATGGAACAGGGTGTTTATTGGAGCTGGGGCACTGTGCCCACAGCATGCACTGGCCTCACTTGGCCATGTAGTACTGGGTGGGCACGAAGGGCATCTTGGTGATGACGGCAGGGTGCTGCTTCTTGCGCACCTCGACGGTGAGCTTGGTGCCAGCCCGGCTGTGCGGTGCCTCCACGTAGCCCATGGCGATGTTCTTGCCCAGGCAGGGCGAGGGACATCCACTGGTCACTGTGCCTGGGATGTGAGGGTATGGGGAGGTGAACGGGGCCTGGCCAGCCCCTGTCAGTGCCATGGCCACAGCTCAGGGTCGTGCCCGTGCCAGCCCCACTGCCCCCACCTACCCACAGGCCTGCCTTCAGGGCCCAGGATGGCCATGTGGGGCCGGATGGCGGGTCCCACCGACGTCAGCCCCACACGCCTGCGCCTCGGCTTCTCTTTCAGTTGTGCCATGATGACAGCAGCACCAGGGAAGTCCATGGCCATACGCCGGCGCCTCCCTGCAGGGCAGAGATGGGTGAGGGCTGGTGATGCCTGACTGGTCCCCTTGTACCCACTGGAGACACCTTGCTGCTCTGCCTGCCCCAAGGAGGAGGTGGACCTACCCAGAGTCCACATCAGCCCGGCCTCGGCAGGGGTGACAGTCTCATCGATGTCATTGCCGTAGAGGCAGAGCCCGGCCTCCAGGCGCAGGCTGTCCCTGGCTGCCAGCCCTGCTAGCCACACATCGGGGACACCCAGGAGCTGCTCGGCCAGCTCCACCGCCCGCGCCGCGGGCACCGAGATCTACAGCGGGACACGGGCAGGGTCAGTGGGGCACGGCCTTCCCCTGCCTGGTACCGCACTGGGGACACTGGCACAGCTCCCTGGGTACCTCCACGCCGTCCTCGCCGGTGTAACCGCAGCGCGTGACCCGGCAGCCCGGCACACCGAACACGGTCGTGGTGATGCTATTCATGAAGGAGAGCTTGGCCAGGTCATCCGACAGCCCTTCCTGCAGAACCCGTGCCATGGAGGGACCTGGGGAGGCAGGTGGCTGGAAGGCAGCAGTGCCCGGGGAAGGGGGGGGACGTGGGGAGGGCGGTGACATCCACCGGGAGAGGATCCGGGGGAGGGCAGGCCCATGTGGGGCCCCCAATACCTTGCAGAGCCAGCAGGGCATTGTCTGACACCTCCAGGTGTATGTCACTGCCGGTGGCCTGCAGCTGCGCCGCTCTGTCCTGCCAGGGTGACAGGGGGCTGCTAGCACGGGGGCCAGGCCAGTGCCAGCCCCACACGTGGCCATGGCCACCTCACCCTGCGCAACACCGGTGTCACCAAAAGGCAGAGAGACTCATTCCCACGCGTGTCCCCCCCTCCCGCGGGGCTCAGGCAGCCCCATACCCTCAGGATGGCCAAGTCCTTGTCAGCACAGGCGGCGTTGGACACCACGTAGAGGTGATCTTCTGACGTGTTTGTGACGATGAGGTCGTCCGTGATGCCGCCCTTCTCGTTGGTGAGCAGCGTCAGGGTGCCCTGCGGGACACGGCCCGCGGCAGCATTGGCAGGCTGCCCGGACCGTCCCAGGGCATCCCGGGCACCTCCGGCCCCGCTGGATGCCTGCTGCCTGCCCAGTGCCCCCTACCTGTCCTGGCTTCAGCTCGGCGATGTCCCCCACCACCAGGCTCTCCATGAACCGGACGCGGTCCCGGCCGTACACCAGGGTCTGCAAGGGGCCGGCGAGGCTGTGAGGTGCTGCGGCCGCCCCCCTGCTCCAGCCCCCGCATCCCGACCCCGCTACCTGCATCATGTGGGAGACGTCGAAGAGGGAGCAGTGGCGGCGGGTGTGCAGGTGTGACTGCAGGTGGCCCTGCCCGTAGTGCAGCGGAAGGGTCCAGCCGGCGAACGGCACCATCCGCCCGCCGCGGGCCCGATGCAGGGCATCCAGCGGCGTCTGCTTCAGCCCCTCGTCCCCGGCCCCGCTGCCCCCGGCCCCTCTCCGCGGCGCCGAGCCCGGGGGCCGGCGGGACAGCGCGGCGCGGCAGCCCGCCCGCAGCATCTTCCTCTTCCTCCTCCCTCCCGGCACGGCTCGGACCGGCCCCGGGGCGCCTGGGACATGGAGTCCGCCCGGCCCTGGCCCCGGCCCCCGCCCCCGGCCCGGCCCGCCCTCGGCACCGCCTCCCCGGGGCTGCCGGCACGGCCACCCCCATCCCCCAGAGACAGGCGGGCACAGGCAGGGCCAACGTAGCAGCTTTTAGTGGTGACCCCTCCGGCACCGCCGCACCCCTCGGTCCCCCCGCACCCCCTCGCAGTGTCCGGGCTCTGCCCACGGGACGTGCCCAGGAGAGGCTCCCAGGGGTCTCTGGAGTGGCAGCGCTGCCCCTCGCTGCTGGGCAGTGCAGAGGGAGTCAGGGAAGGGGCACAGGGAGGGCTTGGGACCCCGCGGGGTCAGTGGCCGAGGCGGGAATGCAGGAGTCCGCGCAGGCCCCGGGAGCATGGAAGGGACACTTCTCCCCGGCTGGCACCAGCACCAGCGGGCTCAGGTGTAGGAAAGCAGGTTGACATCGTAGCAGCCATCCACCTGGGGAAGAGAGCGACTGTCACTGTCTGCACAGCACTGCTGGGCTGCTCCAGCCCCTCTGGGAGGGCTCCTGAGCCATGTGGCAAGGCCAGGGTCCCTGTCAGCAGGGTGGTGGGACTCACGTCGAAGCGCCCGATGCGGGCAGCTGCCTGGCGAGCCCGGATCACCTCTGTCAGCACCCACATTTGCTGGACCTCCGTCGACACCTTCTCTGGATCAGGGAGCTCCTGGAAAGAAGTGGGCACAATTCTGTGGAGCAGGGATGGCCCAGATGGGCTGGATGACCCTGGGTTTGGGCAGTGGTGTGGATGGATGGCTTTGCCTCCCAGGGAGTCAGGCACGTGATGGTGCCCACATTCCCGACCTGCCGGTAGTTTCCCAACATGAGGTGGGCAGGGCCTCTCTCCAGGAAAACAAACTACTGAGGACGTGGGTGACCCTGATCCCTGGGTGCTGCGGTGCCAACAAAGCCCACCTCTGCTGGCAGGTGGCCAGGATGAGGACAGAAAGGTGATTGCTGGCTAATCATTAAAACCCTAATCACGCAGTCCAGAGTTTCCCAACAGCCTCACTTAGTGACGTGCCTGGGCTTGGGTGCAGAATCCTGGGCACACATGCTGGTTCACCCCAGGGACCTTTAGCCAGGTGGGATGTGTGGACTCAGCAGCAGCTCTCCTGGCTGGGGCACAACTCTCACGGGGACACAGCTCTGTTGCACTGGGCTGAGGGGTGCCTCGTGGTGATGTTGGGAAAAGCCAGTCTCAGAGCAACCTCTGGCATCTGCCTGGATACTCCTTGCCAAGGGGAATGTGATCCAAGCAATCAGCAAGGGACGGGAGTGCCCTCCCCAAACTGTCACACAGCTGGGCAAGGATTGGGAACAGCAGCCTCACTGCTGGGGCAGTGTGAGCACCGTAGCGTGGAAGCCCAGCAGCAGAACTGCCCTGGCAGGTGTGGGCTGTGCCACCCTCCTGCAGGCAGCACCTCCTGTTGATTCAGCAGGTTCTCATGGGCGAGCCAGCTCCCACCCTGGCCCTGCTCTGCCTGGACTTTGCCCACCAAAGGCCACCATCTGCCAGGCAGATGTGGCTGGCAATCTGTAAACACGTGCCGTGGCAGTGATGCCCCTCTGCCCACATGCTGTCCTGGCTGGGCAATGTGTTCCCCAGAGCACACCCTCTGCAAAGTACCGGGAACCAGCCCTGTCCCCACACATCTCGCCCACCCTGAGCGAGGCCGTGCACCCACTGCTCCCGCAGTGATGTCCCTGTCCCTGTTCCCACACATCCCACCTGCCACTGAACCATGCTGTGCACCCACTGCTCCCGTGGGGATGTTCTTGTTCCTGTCCCATCCCACTGCATCCCGCCTGTCGGCTGAGTGGCACTGTGCACCCGCTTCTCCTTGGTGATGTTCCTGTCCCCAGACTAGAGGCCAAATAGACTTAAATGTCACCTCAGATAGCACATCCCCGTGGAGATATTTTTCTTCTTAGCACTGCAAACTACTTCCAGCACAAGGCGGGTTATTTCAGGGCTCCACAGCTATTCCTGGTGAAAGCCTGGAGCCAACAAGGCAGGCATGGCCCTGGCGGCCTCCTGATGGATGCTCATGGCTGGCACCCCACAGAAGTCCCTCCTTCCCCCAGCACCTCAGCAGGGATTACTCACCCCATGCAGGCTGGCTGGCTGCTCCGGAGGGGTCAGCTGGGAGAGCCAGGAGGGAAAATCCTTCTGAGGACTCTGAAACAGATCCAGAGGGTCACACAGCGTGTTCCCAACCCTATCTCCATCCTTTACACCAGGCAGTGTGCTGGGGCTTAGAGCCTACCCCTAGTGATCCTGCTATGGAAGTGTCACTTTACTATCCTTAAAGATCATTTTGTAGGGAATTCTGTGTTTTGAGTGGCTGTTGGAGCAGTCCCTTCCCCAGCACCACTGGAGCACAAGTGGATCCCAACTGCCCCAGCAAAGGCCAAGGACTTGGAGCCACATCCCCGGGTGTGCTCCCCAGAGCTGTAGGGGGAGATGCCAGGTATAGGGCTGGGGACAGTGGCTTGTCCTGGCCCCCTGCCCATGCCTGGCAGTGGGGTAGCTCCGGCACCTGCTCACCTTCTGTCCAGGGGGGAAAATCTGCAGGTCCTCAATGGTGAAGTGGAGCCAGACTGGGGAGGGCTGTCGCAGGATGAACCGCATTGCTGTCACCTGGTCCACATCACACAGCATCTGCAGGGCAGGGGCCAGGCAGTGTAACCACAGGGGCTGGCACTGACTGGGGGCAGCTTTTGGGGTACCCTCCCAAAACCCCCAACCCAGCCCAGATGGAAGAAGCCCAGGGGAAGCATCGTCCCCTGAAGTCTGGCTGAGCTGAGCGGGGCACAGGGACTCTTGCAGC